TTAGCCTTTTATATGCGACCCCAAATAGTGTCATTTTGGAATGAATTTTTGGAAGGACCCACATGTTGCTCCAAGTGCAATACCAAGATTTTCAATACATATGTACTAGTTTTCATAAAATTGTACCAACATATTGGAAGATAATTTTTGACAAAAAATTTTACCAACATATTGAAGGGTATTTCTAGATTTTGAATCTTTGATGATAGAGTGACAAATAGCATTACAAATAGCAATTTCTATGTAAATTCTTAGCTAAGAAATTCTTTCTAAATTTTACCAACATATTGGAGAATTTAGAAAAGATTTTCAATACCAAGATTCCTAAAAATCCCATTTATCACGTATAAAAGTTTTTTATGAAAATTAAATAAATTCGATGACAAAGCCTCTTTAAAGTGTTACAAATAATCTCCTTGAATAATTTTGAGGTAAGGGAATGTCCTAAAATTATTACTAACATATTGGAGTAATTTTAAGACAATTTCTAATAACTAAGTATTTGATAAGATTTTTAAGGCTTTGGATAACATGAGATCAAACTGATATCATTCTTTGCATGGGTATTATAAGGGTGCTATAACATTTTTTACACATAATCGTACTTTCGAAACTAGTTTTGATTTCGTAAACTGGAATCTACCTTTTAAAGATACCTAAGTTAAGCTTGAGACTTCTCATTAAAATGAAAAAGATTTAGTTAAGTGACCAATCGCACCTAAATAAAAAAAATTGGTAGTGACTCCTTAAGACAAGTCTAGTTATAGGTCTATAGATCTATACATTATGACATATACGTTCGCTCATTCATATTTGGTTCATTTACATCCCTAGTTATATTATTTTTTTATTGGTTTGGAAAATTAGAAATTAAATGGTGAACAACAGGAAATTCAAATGCAAAAGTTTGCTAATTACTAAGGCATTTCGAGAAGTGGTAGTAGGATAGTTTCCTTGGATGAAGATTGTTAAGGAGAATACCATTGTCAAGCTTGTTGATGTGAATGTTTATATTGTTTACTTTTGTTTTTTGTTTTTCATTTTTTTTTGTTATTGATTTTATCACAATTGGTAGTCTGAGTTTGTGAGATGAATAGGTGAAAGGGAAGGAAATTTTGAAATATTGCTTTCTTGCATGTTTAAATGTTCAAATTGAAAATTTTTATCATGTCTTGGTTTTTGGATTGACTGGATTAATGTGCTATCATCCATGATTTTTCTAGGAAATGTGATTGGAATTTTTTAGTTTGGTTTGCATGATTGTAAATATTTTGAGTTGATTGGTTGCTTTCCATTACACCATTTCAATTTCGTTAACATATTAATTTCACTTTTAAACTTGATTGTAAATATTCATATCAATATACTAACTATTAAACTTAAGTCTTCTAGTAATTTAATAGTTCTTTTTTATCATAGAATCATTTTCCATTCAATTAATATGCCAATTGAATGCTATTTGTTCATGCATGAAAGTCATGTGACGAGTTAACATGTGTTGTTGTGCAATTATCTTAATGCCACATTATCGATTTTGCTTCATTTTAGTTTTTAATGGCTTATGATATGCTAATTCCTTTGAAAATGTTTAAGGTTTGTATGAAAATTTTCTAAAACTTTTTTGGTTTGGTTGTTGTGAAAATATGAAATTATGGGTTTTTGTTATTTCTTTAGCCTTTTGTGTATGATTCATATGAAAAAAAAATGAGGTTTGTTGGAAACAAAATTATGGATTTTTCTTGATTCTTTAGTCTTTTTTCTTGATGAATGGTGAAATTAATATTTGATTTTCAAATTAAGATTGTAGCAAATTTTAGTTTTTAAGATATTTCTACGAAAACTTTTTGGAATATTATTTCGTGATTGATAGTGAGTTGATAGAAGTGATTGAAATAGATTTTGTTTTTTCCCTAAAATTTACAAGCATTAGTTGTGGATTTGGCAATTTTAGGTTAAGAATGATGGTTTCCTTTCTAAGCTCAATGGTATAGAATGGTAGTGAAGGGGATTTTCTCATGCATTCCACTGCACTTTGTCTTAAGGAGTTTTATAATGCATAAGGTTTTTATTTCCCATAAAGAATCAAGTTCAAGTGTAATGATATTAGGTTGGTAATTTTTTTTTTTGTATTATTCAAAATGCTAATTTATACTGATTTTTAACATGTTAATTAAGTCTGTTTCTTTTTTGGATGATAATGTTGAAGTTTATGTCAAAACTCAAAAGGTGACAAGTCTTGAGTATTGCAATCAGTTGTTTTCTACCTATTTAATGAATAAATAGATATTGTAAAGCATAAGTGAGACATCAAAACTCTTAATTTTTGGTTGTCAAAAGTAAAATTTTGTCTGTGTCACTTCTCACCCCCATTTCATTTAATTAAGAGTATTCAGTAACGCATCTCAACGTTTAGTTTTGGAGGAACCAACTAATAATATATGATATACTGTTTTTTCAAAAAGAAAAATTCTATCATACTTATTAATGTAAATAATATATTAATAAAAATATGATGAGTTCATAAAATTATAAAACAAAAATATTATTATGACAATATTATATTTATAATAATAATAATAATAGGATTTACAATTAATAATAGAATTACTAATTACACAATTTATTAATGAATTATGGGAATTTTTTATTTTTTGGCAATTTAAAATTGAAATAAAAAAAGAGATATGAATAAATCAATTATTAAACATATTATCGAATAAAAAAAAATTATATATACTCTTAAAAAAATGATGATAAAATTTTGAGATTAAAAGTTGTGGTATTTTTTTTATCCTTTTGTAAAATAGTTCCAATATAAAATTTTTTTGTTGAAAAAAATACAACAACTTGATATATAAATCTAAAATAAAAATAAAAGTGAAAAATGATATGAAGGAAAATTTGAAGTAAGCTAAAAGAAGGTTAGAGATCAATTCTTAAAAATTGCAATATCTCTTTCCGTAAATCTCTTAGGTTTGGTCTTTCTTACACCAAAAAAAAAGATAAAAAGAAAAGGAAAAACACATTTGATACTTATAAAAAATTTAGAATCTTATCGAAAAAATTAAAACTTTAATTTGACTTATATTAAGTTTATATGGTTGTGATTTAAAATTTATGGCAAATCTCTTAATTTTAAGAATTTACAAGTAATGATATTTAAATACAATAAACATATAAATATCAATGTGATTTAAAATACCTCTTAAATTGTAATGCATAGATTAAGTAATAAAATTATTTAAAAAATTTATAATTTTAATTTAAGAAATAATTTAAATGTATTTAATATAAGTATATATAGGAGTAAAAGGTTTTTAAAAATGTTAGAGGGCTAAGCCTCCTTCGGCTCTTATTATCCACCTTCTTTGATGCTATGTTTGGATAGATATTAATAAAAAAAAAAAATTTTTTTAAAGGAAAGAAAATGATACATGTACCCATTTTTTGGATAGTTAAAATTAATAATAAGAAAAAAAATTTAATAACCATTACTTGGATAAATAGTAAAAAAAAATGAAATAATTCATTATAATAATTTTTTTCAATTATAACAATTTTTTAATAAAGTAACATATAATATACAAATATATCTTTATATTACCTAACTTGTATAAACAAATCTTTCGAAATAAAATTAAACTTTTTTAATATGGTAAGATATATTAACTAGTTATTGATTTACTCTTAATTTTGTATTTAATTTAACCTTTTAATTTATTCTAACAATAAATTGGCGTGTTTTGTTGTTAAGACCTAAAAAATTATAAAATATTTATAAAATGTGATATTATATAAAATACTCATAAAAAGAAATTATCTTTGTAAAAGGTATTAGTTATATAATCAAATCTAATGTTATAAAAAATATGAATTGAGGTATTAAAAAAGTAAAGATTACAAGATAAACTAAAGGTTATTTGATTTTCACCTATTTTCTTTCTTTTAAATTAAACGTTTATTTAAATAAATTTTTTTTTCTATTTCCATTACTTTTTTTTATTTTCCTTTTCTTTCCTTTCCCTCTCCTCAATCCAAACATAGTGTGAGAGTATTAATACATTGTTAAGTAAGTTGATTTAATTTTTGCAAATAAACTTCTTCTTGAAGAATAAGTGAAATGATATTTTTTATTTACAATTTTAAATAAGCTAGGAAAAAGGATTGTACACATATATGCACATGTACCAAAAACATGAGATATAATGATTTTTTTTTTTTATAATTTTCATAGCTGGGAGATCAAGATGAAAAGCTTGCCTAACATATCAAACTTTATGCAATATCAATCATTGCAACTTCAAAACAAGCCATTCTCAATGATCTCATAGCAGTAAATTATTTATCTTCTTTTACTTTGTCTCATTGGTTTAAGTATTTTTTTTTTTATATTTTAAGTATTTATTTGTAGATTTATAAATTTATATGTTAAAATTTTGAAAGAAGCTTTTTCCGAGAATTGAGCATGGATGGAAAACCATGCTAATATAATGTAGCTACAGGTAGGGAGTTTTTTTTTTTTTTTTTTTTTTCGTTATTTTTCTCTATTGGTTAGTATTTTTATCTTTTTAGCATGAAATTGGAATTTTATGATGCATGAATCGAAGAAAAAGAAATATTAGTTTTTAATCTTTCACCAAATTTTTTTGTATGCGTAACTTTTAATCTCTTTTATTTGGTACATAAACACAAATATAATACATTTAGATATTTTTAATTCTATCTTTATAATACATTCTAGGAAATTTGTAAGATTCGATATCTCGTACACGCACACAAAAAATTTTTGTATAAAGACACAGATTGATATCTAATTAATTTTAATCTTATTTTTAATTTCATCATTATAACAATTAATCTTACTATCCCCACTATAACACGCAATTTTTTACCAGGCTTTGAGAATCCAAATAAGCAGAGTGGGTAAAAAATGGGCCGAAGGCTTCAACAAACCTTTTTTATACGGTACGGCCCAATTTCGCTGCAAAAAGGCGAGGGTTATGCGCTTGTACTGTTTATCAAGGGCAAAACCTCAACCTGCAGAAAATACGGTTTTTTGGGAGCATTTGAAGAAGGCAATGGCTTCTCTGTTCAGGGTATATTATTCACTTTCCCAGCTTCTTTCAAAAGGTATTTATTAGTGATAATTTTTTTCTGATTATTTAAATTTGGGTGTTGGTTGGGGTTAAATCATAGGACCCAGCTAAGCTTTCAGCGTACCGGGACAGAAGATTTAATGGTACGCAAGAGGATTTCGAGCAAGCACTCCTTACTTCCACAACCGTCTATATCGGAAACATGTCTTTTTACACAACTGAAGAACAAGTTTACGAGCTTTTCTCACGAGCCGGTGAAATTAAGAAAATAATCATGGGCCTCGACAAGAACTCTAAAACACCTTGCGGCTTTTGCTTTGTCTTGTAACTCTCTGTTCATTTTTTCCCCCTAGAACATGTTAATCTTTGTCTTTATTTTAAAGCTATTAATTTGCTGTTGGATTTTTTTTTCTTCATCATCAGGTATTATTCTAGGGAAGATACAGAGGATGCCGTTAAATACATTAGTGGGACAATTCTTGACGACCGTCCGATTCGTGTAGATTTTGATTGGGGTTTTGTTGAAGGAAGGCAATGGGGCCGTGGTCGAAGTGGTGGCCAAGTGAGTTCTTTTATTGTGCCTACAATTTTACAAATGTTTGACCAAATGCACATTTTAAAGAGAAGGTCTTCGAATTGGATGTATAGTTTTGGACTTGTATATTATGGAATTAAGATATGTAAAATGAGATGGAGAGTGTTGCCAAATTTATATTTCTAGTATATGAATTGATTTAGTTTTATATTTTTGCAGGTGCGAGATGAATATCGAACTGATTATGATCCTGATATCCTTTCGGCTTTTATTTTTGAATTTTGATGCTCATAATTTCTTATATTGTTCAGACACACAAAAGATGCATATTTATGAATAATGAAGTCTAATATTGATTCATAATTTTGGATAGTCACTTGTTTCCAAATCTAAAGAGTCGAGGTCTCTTCAGCATGTCTTTTGTCTATATATATGGTCTCCTCCCTTAACATGCTTTACGCAGAGGTGGCTACGGAAAATTAGTTCAGAGAGAGTTGGAAGCACAAAGACAGCTTGTAGATTATGGTGCTGGGTCACTGGGCCCATTCCCACCCGTTGTGCCTGCGCATTGTGAGTTTCTAATGACTGTTAGAAATGGATCTCTAGCTTGTCAGTTAGAATTATTCCTTTTTTCTTTTGCCTTAAGGTTGCCTATTGCTCATTTTAAATGTTTGTGGGAGAGAAACGGGCATTCACTGGTTAGTTTGGAGAAATGCTGCAAGTTTATTTATTTTACTAGCAATGTTTGAAAGTGAGTTTAGATGGCAGAATCTAATATGATTTGTCAAATCTACTATTCTTACTCCTGTTGGTACAATAGTACATGCTTAGACTACATGCTATATATCAAAGAGCCAAGAAAAAGAGAAGCAAATAGTTTTAACCAGAAACTGTAAAATGATAATCAGCAGAAAGGAAGGTTCAAGGTCTATTTGAAATGGCTGCCCTCTCCTTTGAGGTGTGTTGTAAATTAGGAACATATTTGGCAAAACTGTACTTATGATCATATTCTTGATAGATTGTAGATTGTGTGCTTTTGGCAGTTAGGTATATTTATTTCTTTTGTTTCTCAGTTTACCAGAAAAATTCATTACCGATATCACTTGATCCCTGTGTGATTAATCCTGTGTACTGAAGTCAATCTCCTGGATACCATTTAACTTATTATTTGCTTATAGGCTTTTCTGTCCATTAATGTGCATCTCATGTTGTTTTGGGTGTTAATATGCTCAGAAAGGAGATAAACATACTGACATCTTGTAAGTGCAGATGGTAGGCATGGTGGGGGCCATGGCCATGGAGGTTCTCATCGTCATGGGAGAGGTATATACCTTTGAATAGTACGTCTAATTATTCTTGTTATATATATGTTTGTTTGAGCTATTCCTATATTTGACTAATTGTCCATAAAGTAGATTACCATCGGAAGCGACATCGAGATGATGACCGCTATGCACGCGAGTCCTCAAAGAGAACTTCAGATCATGAACCCAGGAGAGATTCAGACCATGATTCTAGACCGGTAATGCTTAATAGCACTATGAAGAGTTTATTGTTTGATCAATAAATTTTGAATTATTGGTATCCCCTACTTGCACTTGTTCCTTTGTTTTAGTTGTCAGGAGTAGGGGTGTAATTAAGTCGAGTCGAGCCAAAACACTAAAAGTTTTGAGCTCAACTTGAAGGTCATTGCTTGAAGTTCAAGTTGAGCTCGATCAAGATCTATTTTTCTAACTCGAGCTCGATTCGAGATGGAAATTGAGTTACTCAAGCTCACTTGAATAAGCTCGTAACCTAGTAAAATTTACAAGTTCAATTACTATATTTGACCTCAAACTCGATTATTGAATATTCAAGCTCAAGCTCAAATTGAGAGAAAATTAATTTTTTTCTTATATATACCGAGGATAAAGTTATTCATAGATAATTAAAAATGATCTATATATAATATTAATATATAGTAAAAAATTTTAAAATAAAAAATCTTGAATAAGCTTATGAGCTACTTGACCCGAGCATTAAGATACTAGGCTCGAACCATTCAATAATTCAAGCTACTCAAACTTGAGCTTGCCTTAGCATTGTTGGAGTCAAGTTTGAGTGATTTACGAGCCAAGCTTGAGTAATTCACTGAGTATATTAGCTTATTAACACTGCTAGTCAGGAGATACTTTGGGATGGAAATAGATAAGCTTTAGGAAAAATGCAATATGGGAAAGGGAGAAAATTAAAAGGAAAAAAGATTAAAAAATGCAAGGATGCTAATTGCATTTTCAAATCTCCATTTCCTTTTCACTTTGTATGACAAATTGTATAATCAATACTTTTTGTTGCATGCTTTAAACCTCTATTTTGACCCAACAGGAGAAGAATCCACGTTTCCGGGAGAGTGGGTGATTCTGGATGATGAGGATGATAGATGATCGGAAACATGACCTTAATGGGACTTTATTATATATATATATATATATATAGTGTAATATCTGGAATAACATTTGGTATTTTTATGTATTTTGTAAGAGGTGCTGGACCATATTTAGGACAAAATTGGAAGTTTTCCTCGCTACTATTGATGATCTGCAAATCCTGCCTGCTGCTGTCTCAATATCTTGGTTTTAGGCTTTTGTTGTATGTTTTAAAAGGTGAAACTATTGATGTCTTTTTTTTCTTCTTTTGCCATCTATTGTTTCTTTCTAGTGGTGATGGCCTTGATTCTAGCGGTCACGTCCGGATGAATTTGCTTTGTAGCATTTGGATAATACAAGAACTTCCATGGTACGGATGTACTCGGGTTGAATCGAGAAATTTCAAATCGATTCAAAATTTTATTTGAATTCGATTGATTTTTAATTTTTAAGTTTGAATTTGATTTTAAATAAAAATTAAATTATTTGAATTTTTTCAAATAAACTTGTTTTTTGAAAAAAAAAAAAAATTTGAATCTCATATTTAATTTTAACTTCAATTATTTGTATTTGAGTTTAAATAAATATATTATATAAATATATAAAAAGCTAAAGCCGTTGACAAAAATGATAATTGTCTTATGTGGATATTTATTTTTTTAACATGTTGGATATTCTACGTTAGAGCTATGTGTTTATTAATTAACACATTTAATTTAATTTAATACATTTTTTAAAAATAATTTATTTTAATTAAATGAATTACATATATTTGTTTTGAATATCTAATATCCTTGCTTTCTGTGAGTGAATTACGATTAATTTGATCATTAATACAAAAAATTAAAATTAAAGAAGAAAGCACATTAACGGTGAATATTTTTTTGTTTCTTCTAGTTGATATTTACGAGCTTATTAACAAATTAGTTTTCAATAAACATTATCTTTCAATATAAAATTTCAAATCTTAAGTTATGGGTATGGACTTTTCGGAACAAAAACATAAACAAGTCGAAAATTTTTCAAAAAAAAAAAAAAAAACTCATTATAATTGGTTTGCATAACTTATGCCTAAATTTTTTTATATAAATTATGCCTAAATGAATATGCAATTAGAACTTATATAAAGCTTCTTTATTGATTATGTTCTACCCATAAAAATTTTCTACTATAAATAGGGCATCTTGATATGTTAAACTGCATGAGAGGCTATTTTTCAAATGCATTGGCTTTGCATCTAGGTAAAGCTCCACCCACCTAATTCACTTAGTATTTGTTTAATAATTTATATTTCAAATTAGGAGTGCTTTGATTAGTTTTAATTTTTTACCTTTATCATGTAATGAAAATGAAAACTTAATTTGATTGTTTACAATATTTTTACAGTTTGAATTAGAATAATTATTTTTATCACTTCGTATCTCTTTTTTTTTTTTATAATTTTTTATCTCTATTTGTTCGGTCATGGTTGATGCAAAAATTCTCAAATATTTCATGAAATTTCGCCTCCAACTTGAAGATTTAAGTGTAACCACAAAAAATACAATATTTTTCAAACTTGATTAATTTATCTTATAAGTCAAATGTAAGTGGTTTGTTTATCTTCTTTGCTAAAATTGAAAAATATTACACTTTTTTTTTTATGCAATTTCGTTATAGTACACTTTTTGCTAACTCTCTCCTTTTGACCCAAGTAATTGTAATATTCTTGATGTACACTACTGTATTTGGTTAATGGAACTTTGTTAATTCCAGGTTTTCTACAATATATGTAGTTAGCATATATAATTGATAAATAATACCTATTTGCTATCTAACATTTGATTTTTTTTTTTTTTTTGATTTGATAAATGTGCAGGTTTTAGGGCATTTTCCATTTTCTATTGGTGCGAAATCTGTTTTTATCTTTTTTTTTTTATAGGCTATAAATACTTAACGATGATAGAGTAATTCTTTCTAATTATATAGCAGATTTGTTGTTGTTTTATAGCATGACTTGCTTTATTTTGTATATTTGAAATTTTTTTTTTTAATTTTTTTCCTTCTGTATTGAGATAAAGAAATGTTGATATTAATTGACATTTTTACTATAGTTTACATGTTCTTTTGCATTTTTATTTCCATTCTCCCTTTTTTTTTTTTTTTTTAGTTTTGTTGTTAAACATTTAGTTATTTACTAAACCACAAATCAATATTTTTTTTAATTAAAATATCTTATATTTATATAAGATATATAAAAATAAAAATTTTGGGTAAAAAAAAACTATCCTATTGGATAGTCTAGCTTTTTTAACACAGGAAAACCTTGATAATTATCATATATCTATTACTTAATGTTTTTTATTTAATTTGATTTGATCTTGATGAAACTAATTTTATTGATAAATCTTTTTCTTAATTATTTTTAATTCTTAATTAATTTGATTCTGATTAAATTAATTATATTTACTTTTTTAAGAAAATATAATCAAAGCGTAATTAACGGTACTATATTTCTAGGTTTTCATGTAAAAAAATGATTTTTGATTAATTGATACAGCCATATTTGATTCAAATAAAATAAAATGTATTTTTCAATTAACTAATTGTTGCAACCCTAAATATAGAAAACCAAAATATTTGCTTATTTTTTTCCACGATCATGTTTTGGAAATATTTTATATCCTTTTTTTTTTTTGGTCTTAAGCTAGCAAAATCTCACTATATGTACGTTAATTTAGTGAGAATTGAATAAAAAAAAATATTTTTTTATGATCATGCGTGAATAATTTTTATTCTCAATTCTTTTTAATAAAATAATTTTATTCTCAACTCATTTTAATATACGTAAATATAATTGTGAATTGAATTACTTTATTTTACAAGCTTCATATTTCATTGTTGTGTATGGGTTTTGCAATTCATTTTTACATTAATCTACATTGTTCTTTCATATTAATAATATTTTTGGATTTTTTGTTATAATTCTTTTTCAATGCACGAGGAAAAGGCTCAAACCCTTGAAGAGATTCAAATTTCATGAATATTATATATGCTTTATTTTTTTTTCTTTTTGCAATGAAAAATTAAAAGAATTTATTTCAAAGCATGGGTAGTTGAAAAAGTAATGACAAAGCTCAATAGAGAGGTAAGCTTATAAAATACATTTTCAATGAAAAGAATGAGTATGGAAAATTAATATCATATATTTCAATCATTTTCTTAGTAGCATATTGATGTGTTTTTTTTCATTAATCTCCTTACATGTATTTTATTTAGCCTTAAATTGAAAAAAAAATCAAGAAAAAGAAGAAGAAAAAAAAAAAATTAAGAAAGAGTAATGAAAGATAGTGAGTGACTTTGTTTGGTATAGAATTGCAAAATGCAATTTTAAGAAAAAAAATTCTGCATAAAATTAGTTGGTTTTTTGGTTTGTGCTTTGTATTGTATCTGTTTAATAATTATATTATAAGCGTTCTTTTTTTCATTTTCGTTGATAGAAAGCTGTAAATGTTTCTACATCGAGTATATATTTCGATAATTGGAAATTTGAAATAATATTTTAATATATTATCTTATTATGATGTTTCTTGATATATTTGTGTAGAAATTAGATCTTTATTAATTTAAATCATTAATAATATATAACAATTATTTCACAATATTTATTTTCTTTGAAAATATATGTATTCTATTTTCATAAATTAAAGATGCAAAAAGAAAATTCAAGTTTATCTCACAAATTTATAAATTTATAATACAAAAACCAAGTTCTGCATATTAAATGATTTTAAATAATATAATATGTAATAAAATTATAATTAATTTACTTATCTTGTGTTATGCATAGACTTAAAACTAGTATATATAATAATAATTTTTTAATTAACACAATAAAAATATATAATAAAAAGTAAAAATTCAATTAAGATTGTAAGTCACTCAAGTTAGTATTAAAAATTTTAAATTATATTTGTTCAATAAATAAAATTGCTTGAGTTTGATTTGATAATAATCAAATCAAATCGAATTTAAATTTTATTTAAATTTTATTTGAGTTAAATTTAAATAATTTATGAGCATCGATAAGAAGAAAGGAAACAATTTGCAAATGTTTATTCTTTACATCCGTTTAACTAACTTTGGGCCCGTGAAGAAAGCAACTCTCGCATCAAAATAGAATTTATGTTGACCAAAAAAACGAGTACCTTATGATGGTGGAGACAATGATTGGATACAAATAGCCAAAACGGAGAAGAGAATTGAGAAAAGCAAAAGCCAACTGCAATTGAAGGAATCTAAGTATCCATTTTTCATAACTAGATTATGATAAACATTCCAATTACAAAAATATCAACAACTTTTTGTGTGACAAAACTGTTAAGATAGAGTAAGAAAAAACAAAAGATCCTGCTTCATCTCGCTACAGCCAACATTCAGCTGAGGATTCAAAGCAAACGTCATAGAACTTGGGATTTGCAGTCTACTGCCATTGAACTACAGATAACAGCAGATGTGTAGGGATGATTGATGTGCAAAGCATAGTTCCTGGAGATAAGTTAATGTTCAACTCACTCAACCTATTTGATGATTCTTCTTCTACGAATTGACTTAGTCACGATGCTTCCAGGAGCACTATGAGCTTTTCTTCTTTGTTCTTTCCTTCTTTCTGCTTCAATCATTGTGTGTCTGAGGTTGGCGGCCTTGTAAATTGGTTTTGGTAAGCGCCTGTGCCTGCATAATCATAACCAATTCAGGAGCATTAAGAACCTAATACGAAGATCATTTGTTCTCATTAAATATAGCTTGAAAATTTCTCCTGCTCTTAAGTTCATTTATCATCTTACAAATAAAACAAAATATAATATCATGTCAAAAGACTAGAAAGAAAAGAACAAGGCTTGATAAATAAATTTCCTAGTGCATAGTTTTGAATGCCCACCCCAAGGGAACTCCTCAAGAAAGGGAGGGCAATATGGGCATGTTTTGAAATTGTCATGGGTTAAGAAATGAGAATTCTTCAATTTCAATTTTACCTC